TTGTGAAATTTTTAATAAATCCCGTAAGTGTTCTGTTTTTGGGGTTTTAAAATAACTGGGCAGAAATAGTCTGCGCGATCGCGGACAATGGGCTGCGATCGCAAAGGGTAAAAATGGTTGTACACTGCGATCGCGGACAATACCACGCGATCGCATAGAAGAAAGATGAAGGATGGGACTTTACTCATTGCGATCGCGGAAGGGGGAATGCGATCGCATAGAACGAACTATGGACTCCCAGAATTTACCCTTCGGGATCGCGGAGGGAATTATGCGATCGCGAATAACAAAAACATGACCCCCCTGAAGATTACTCTATGCGATCGCGGGCCTATTTATGCGATCGCATAGTACAAATCACTGGACATCAAAAGCTGCAGAAAAACCAGATTTTTCCAAGTCTAAGACACCCCGACACCTATCCAAAACTCACCCGAGCCCTCGGGGCTCCAAACCAAATATACACACAACCTCAAAAGCATCCTACGGACTTATTCGTGCGATCAAATCGCCAAAATAACATCATGAACATCAGATAAATCCTCAAAATCAAAGAATTTTCTCAAACTTCATCAAGTATCAAAATTAGCAATCCAGTCTGAATCACGTCAAACGACGTCCGTTTTTAACCAAATTTCACAGAAATATCTTAATTCCTATGTAAGACCTGTACCGGGCACCGGAACCAAAATACGGGCCCGATACCAACACGTTCCAATCAAATATCATTTCAATTCTCCTTAACAATTTCAGAAAAATAATTTCTTTTAAAAATTCATTTCTCGTGCTCGGGACCTCGGAATTCAATTTCGGGCATACGTCCAAGTCCCATATTTTTCTGCAGACCTTCCGGGACCGTCAAATCACGGGTCCGGGTTCGTTTACCCAAAATGTTGACCAAAGTCAAATTTATTCATTTTAACATCAAAACTTAGCATTTTTCACAGAATTCCATATTTAAGCTTTCCGGCTACGCGCCCTAACTGCGTACGCAAATCGAGGCAACTCTAAATGAGGTTTTCAAGACCTCGGGGACACACAATTCAATTAAAAACAGGTGATGGCCCTTTGGGTCGTCACAATATTTTTACGTATAAATTTCTTAGTTCAAACACAGCATTTAAATAAGGTTGCTTTCACTAATAGCACACTATTAAAAACATAATGCAAAAGATTAGCATTAATTAATGATTAACAAATATGGCAGTAAAATATTTATACATATAGCATATTTAATTCAGTTCAGATAAGAAAGAATCAAGCTGTTTAAAAAGACAGTCCTAGTATTTAATATCTTTCCCTATAGTTTCTCTCCATTCCATAACACGTTTTATGTTATCATTAGAAACCAATCCATTCCATAACAGATGTTTTCCTTTCCATACATGGACCTTTTATATAATGTAATGTAGAAAATTATGCATCTTTATATTCTGATGAAATAAAATACATATATTTTATGAAAAAATTATAATGTATGTATGTGGTATACATACATTATAAATCATTTTTTTAATTCATGTATATATGCATATGTTGTTTATATACGTCTTTATATTTAAATATATATCATCGATTCATTACATAACTTTTTTTTCCTTTTTATACATGGACCTTTTTATTCAACTTAATCCTAGCAAAATTATATATATGTACATTCCAATGAAATAAAATACATATATTTCGTGAAAAAAATATAATGTATGTTTGTGGTATATTATAAATCATATATTTTTTTAGGAAAAAATATATATATGCATATGTTATTTATACACTTATTTATATTTAAATAGATATTATTAATATACCATTTATATTTTGAACTAATATAACATGCATATTTATATAAATTATCCGTATATAAATAGTATATGTGACATATTTATTTTCTTCTATATATGCATATGTTGTTTATACACGTCTTTATATTTAAATATATATCATCGATCCATTACATAAAATTATGGAAGAGTGAGGGAAAAAGAAATATAGTAAAAAGTGTATGAATGTAGAGGGATCCCTTAGTTAATGGAGTTATCAATGTGGAAGTGCTAAAAATGTAAAAAAAAAATATGCTGTTTTTGAAATAAACAAAGCCTACTATCATTTATGAGAATAATTTTTTAAAAGTGACCAAGTATGTAAAAATCTCATTTAAATAAAAGTAGCTGAATTTGGTCGAACATGCACCTAATAGACTAGTTCCGCCTCTGTCAAGAACCGTCAGCATTGATATGCACACTAGAGAATAAGATTATGTTAGACGATGTATGATTTGTAAACAAGAATCGATTTTTAAGTGAGATACATAATATATCGTAATATAATCAATTTTGCTCTTTCTCAATTGAACTCATCCGTTAAGGCTTGAGCCACACAGCAATAAAATATTTTTTTCTAATTTTGTAGTTTTATAATTATTCTATATCTTATAGATCGACAAATTTTTACTATGTACTTATAAATTTAAATCAATTAACTCAGCTATAAAAAATAAAAAATAAAAAAAGTTCAATCAACTATTAAAAAGTGCAAAGATCAATTGAGAATAGCGATTGATGCACAACTTCTGAAGAAGAGGGATTCATTTGGATTTGGTCACCTCAAAGGTAAACACGGTGTGGAATAATACCCTTTGACTTGAAACTTTCTTATTGGGTTTTTCTCCGTCAAAGAGCCAGATATATGGTTTCTTTGGGTTCGTGGAAAGGTCCATTTCAGTTAGGATGAAAAGAACAATTTTAATCATTTGATTTTTTAAGAAATAACTGATAATTCTTTTTTTTTTTTCAAAGTTACCCCTTACTCTAATAAACTATAAAGATAAATTAATGTAGTGAAAGCAAGAAATAGTAGTGAAATCAAAGAATGAATAAGGATAATTTAGTTAAATTTAATTAATATTTTCTTAAAAACGTGCAAAAATATGACAAGTATAATAGAATTGAGGGGGTGCATTTTTTCGTTGATACACATGAAAGGATCAAATATATATGTTTGTGCTCTGTAATAGTTCAAATATTTGTTTTTAGTCATTGAGAAATGAAAAGAGCACGCTCATTCTTGATATTTGTTGGGGTAAAGAGGATGCCTTGTTATCATTACCGACATGCAAGCAATAATTGTCACGAATATATTGCTCACGATAATGGAGAAGGCAAAAAAAATTAAGTGCGTCGAATATTCTCATTAAACCATATTGAAATCCCTACCTTAATTTATTCAGAAAAATTAACATCTTCAAGAAATTAAGAATGACCATAATCTGTCTTGTAACGTGCTGCTTGCGCTGCACCAGCTGTCGCTTTAATTATTCCTCGACATCTACTGATTATTAATTATTCAGACACCTTGGTTAGTTTCAGTCTGACTTACCTGCCTTAAAATTTTCATATACAATATTGTGCATTCATGAGTTTATGAAGGGATATTGTTCCATATGGAATAAAGAGAAGAAAACAGTTGTTCAGTTTACAGTGAAAAGCACTTCTATACTAACTTAAAAGGTTGGAAAGAAGGCAAGCATTGCATTGTGTTGTTGCTCAGCTTTAAATTTGAATTTGGTCAACTAATTGGATTGATTAATATTTGAATCAACAAATTTACAAATTTCGGTTCGTACACGGGTGGTAATAATATCTAAAATGAATTCTTAGGCCACGAATAGATTAGCTAAAGTTCCTCTTAAAATATTTCTAGATAACTCATGTGTGACAACTTTAACCACAACAACTAGTCAACAACGATATACCCATGTGATCCCGCAAGTGGTTGGGTACCTTGTGTAAGATAGAGAATCTATTCCAATAGACCCTTGGCTCATATGACAACCTTAACTCAACTACTTAATTTATAGAAAGTTCGGTAGCTAATCACCTAATTATCAACATCGTTGACTCGTTGTACTTTCCTTTGTTACTATAAGTTTACCTGAACACTAATATATTGTACCCTGTAAAACTTATTTATGGCGGAGAGAAGTTTTTCTGAATAATATTCGATATATGTATTCTTATGTTAAATACAGTAATTAATTTTCGAACGTAAAATAAATGTAATTATCTGAATGTCAAACAAGTAGTTTGGCTGGGGCACACAACTGCATGCGATGCTTCCTACTCCACTTGTATCTTCGCAAATTGTCTTTTTCTGAAATATTCAAAAGTGCTGTTTCTATAAATAGTCAATTTTTTCATTGAAGAAAGGTTCTTAGTTGAATCCACTTGCACTACTATACGAAATTTCTAATTCAGGATTATAAAAATTCTTAATTATATATCTTGCTCTAGTCGATACATTTGGTACTTATTTTTATATTAAAGGATGGCCACTTGGTCATTAGGGTTTTGGTGGATTACAGTTTAGAATAGAGATCTGTCATTTCAAGGGAGAGAGATATCCAAATGATTCATTATTGCTCTACAAGTAAACGTGTTTAAGGAGAAGATCAATTAAGGTTAAAAAGCATAGCGAGAACGAATCAAAATATTCAACACAAAATCATAGACAATGAATGGAATGGTTCAAATTTAAATGCTTTGAATGTCTTTTATCTTTCTTTAGTATTTTTTTCCTTTGTTATAGTGGGAAAATAAAATGAATCTTCTTTTACAAATGTAAAAAAAAGAACTATGTGTCCTTAAACGTTTACTTCCGTACCGGACACTGCAACAAGTTGTAACGTCTCTGTTTTTGTAGAAAGTAGAAAAAATAGCTGGTCCATTACAATTGCAGAGAAGAAAACAAAATTTGGTAATTAGGCATTTCTTTTAAGTAAGATATTTATTCATAATTACTACTTAAGGCAAAAATATCATTGCCGCGTAATCCAAAATTAACCGTAAATCTAGTCAACGTACAGAAAAAACCAACGCACAATCCATCACTTCCAACATGCAGTCCCACATATATCTCAGACAAGTACACCTCGAAACAACAAATAAAAACAATTACTAAAATATTACTACTCCACTAGCTGGTCGTAGAAATTTATACAAGTAAGAATTTTTAAATTTATAAAAAGCCGGCTCTTTCCCATAAAATCCTTAACTTTATTCCAACCTTCCGTTCCATACTCTCAGCCCCCCAGATCCCCTTCTTTATTTTCACCAAAAGAACAGAAACGTGTTGTTAATATTCTGTGAAGATTGGTCATTGAGGAGTTTGATAGAAAGCTAGGGGAGTGGTGGTGCAGCCATTTTTTCACCGGAATCTTGTTTTTCCGGTGAAATTTTAGACACCCTTCAAGCTAGAAGTGGGACAATGTCATAAGTAAAAACATATTTTTTTTTTCTTCGTGAATACAGAAAAAAGGAGAAGATGATAGGGAAAGTGAGCTTGTTGTTTGTATGTGGGTTTTGGGTTTTGATGATGTCGTCAGCAACGGCGACATTAGTAGTTCGTGGGGCTGAAACGGCGTCGTTTATAGAGGAAAGGAAAAATGGGGCGCAACACAGAAATGCGTATGCGACAATGATGTATATGGGAACACCAAGAGACTACGAGTTCTATGTAGCGACACGTGTCATGCTCCGATCACTTTCCCGGCTAGGCGTTGAAGCCGATCTCGTTGTTATTGCTTCACTTGACGTTCCTCTTCGCTGGGTTCGAACACTGTAAGTCTCATTTCTCATTTCTCATTTTCTCCATCGCTGTAGCAAATTGAACATTGTTCACCGGAAAGCGAAAAAAAAGAAAGAAAATAAGACAATTTCTCCTCATAATTTGTTTGTTATTGACAAGTTGGCACTTTGAGTATATTTTGAACTCTATCTAAATTTGCTCCTTTTTATATTTTGAACTCTTGTATATTTTTAGCACCATAAATTTTTTATTTTTAAAAAAATTAAAAATATTATTTAATTATAAAAAATGATCAATTTTTGGGCAATTTTTAAAGATAAATTTTTCAAGTTTCTAAACTTGATTTAGATTAGTTTTTCAGGTACAAAACTTTAATTTCTTTTCAAGTAAATATATGTTCAAATATAATTTAACTTTGAAAACCTTTTTTTTATTTTCTTTTTAAAATTATAATCAATTTATGTTCAAATACTGGATTATGTTATTTGACATGCTTGGGTTATGAACCTTCTTGGTAGGTATGTCTTTTGTCATTTTATACAATAGAGTATTATTTTCTGCTCGTTATTGAACTTGGGGTGTTGAGCTTAAAATGGTAATTAACAGGCCCCCACCCACGTGGGCGCCTGTTAACCACACTGACCAAAAATGCAGAGACTTGAAACTTGATGAGGATCATACTGAAAGGGGTTGGCTTTTGGTACACTACTATTTTAGTACTACTAATTTGTTGAGACGTGGAAAAATATACTGAAATTGGAATGGGTCTATTCCTATTTCCATCTTGCTCCATCCATCCGTTCCGATTTATGTGAATCTATTTTTTATTTGGTCCGTTCAAAAATAATAAGTATTTTAATTTAAGATTACAATTCTATCCTTAATCAATACCTTTTACAACCATACAAATATCTTGATCCCCTTTTTAACTTGTTTAGGACCACAAATTTCAAAAATCTTTATTTTTTTCTTAAAATAAAGATTTACATAAATTGATAAGAGGGAGTACTAATTTATTTTTCTGAATAGGTTTAGAGCTCGTAAAAGGAGGGCAGTTTGGAGTTTAGGGACTAGTTGACCATTTTGGCCATCTTGATTTTGCCGACAGCTCAAACACACGTAGGATTTCCTAAACTACCAAAACAGATATACAAAAATTAGCTGTTAACTCACATGCTGTTACAAAATTTTCCATCATTTTTATTCTGATCCACTGATTGCAGGAGAGACGAAATGACTTTATTTTTTATGTGTTTCATGCTAAACGACGACAATCAAAGAACACCACGGGACAATTAGGATATTGTTGTTTTAGAAATTTTTGGGATGATTGACATGAAGAGATAAGACTAAGAAAATAATTGGAAACTTTTCTTTTTTTCCTTTTTTTTTCTGTAATGTGATATGCCACATGGCCCGCAACCTTAACTTACCAATAAATGTTGTCACAAAAAGGGTGATAATAATTACTAAAATTAAAAATATCTCCCCCATTCATTGAAATTTGAATGTCGTTATTTATAGTTCAATAGTGTCTACAAAAAACTTGTTAAGATCGTTGTATATAAGAAGAATTGCTACACTAAAAATTGTGATAGTGCTATATAAAGTTGGCAGAATAAAAATAAGCTTTTTCTAGGCCAATGAGTTTTGGTTTGCAAAGGAACTTGTATGAATTGGTTGCTTCTTGGAATCAAGGCTTTGGGAAAGTCACTTGTGACATTGCTGGACCCATGTTATTTTGGTGCTCACAATATAGACTCCAGACATGACTATCCTTCTATTAGGGGGGGGGGGGGGGGGGGGGGATTGCTCGGTACACGAAGGCATCTCGCGTTCACGTTAGGTCAGAGAAAAGGCCGCATCCCACTGGGTGTGATATAGACACATTACCCTAATGCAAGTATTAGTGGATGCTTCCACGGCCGAATCCGTGAGCCCGTGACCCTATAGATCATACAATGATGAAAAATTTCTTTCTTATTACATGATTAAGATATATACTTTAGATGATATGCTCAACATATATTCTGTTAACTTTACCTAAATATGAACAAATCTACAAGTTTTAATGGTATATGTCATTCTATTTATTATGTTAATCTATTTTAGTTTATTAACCGGATATGAATGAAGTATATTTTTCAACAAAGGATATTCCTTTTTGATACTTTCTTTTAGGATTTATGATTAAGATGACTATGATTGTTTTGCGCATGTAGGAAGAATAGAAGTTATCAAGAGTGCTACTTCATTAGAATATTTGCAAATTGTGTTTTAACTTATTCAATGTTGCCTTTTGGTATTTTTTTTTTTAAAGCAAGCATATTCTGGTTTTCCTGTCTTATTTGGGACCTAAAGTGGTTTATCCTCAATTGAGTGTTTCCTCTTCAAAGAAAATGCTTTTAATAAAAATATTGGTATATTCCCAATTGCAATATACGAGGATAGCACAATCAAAAGTTTATCTACACAAACAAAGTGATAGTGATAGTAACAAAGAATATATGTCCAGCTTATCAGCTGAGATATTACTCCAGTTTTCACTCATTTCGCCATCATCTTGATAAGTTGAAGGTATGATCCCCGCCCGGGGGGGGGGGGGGGGGAGGGGTTATTATATCATCTCAAGTCAAGAATAGTTACAAAAAATCTAACTTCATCAAGAAAATTAAGCAGCTTAACATATAGAACTACGTAAAGTGTGAAACTAAGTACTGCTCTCATTGTTGACTGTTGCGTCCTTTCTATTGAAGTTATGTAATGTCATTGTTATAGTGCCAGTTGCCGAGATATCCATTTCATGTAAAGACAATGTGAACCTTGAAAATTAAGTAACCATTCGTTTACGTACTTTGTATGCAGAGAACAGGAAGATGGTGCAAAGGTGGTGAGAGTTAAAAATCTGAACAATCCATACTGTCTCAATCCTAATTGGAGATTCAAGCTGACACTGAACAAACTTTACGCATGGAGCCTCGTAGATTATGACAGGGTTGTCATGCTTGATGCTGATAACCTTTTCCTCCAGAAGACTGATGAACTTTTCCAATGTGGCCAGTTTTGTGCTGTCTTCATTAATCCCTGCATTTTCCACACTGGTCTCTTTGTCTTGCAGGTAAATTAGTTTAAAGCCTTTTAATAGTACACTAGTCCTGACTATTTAATTTGCTAATGTTGGCAACTCGTCTGTATGACTGGAGTTATTGGCTTAGACTTTTGTTTGTTGTTCTGAGAAGAACTACATGAATCTCATAATTTTCCAAATACTTAATCGGCTTGTGGTTCTTGATTGACTTCAATTGAAAACTGCATCTTTCTTACATGAGCTAAATTGCAGCCATCAAAAAAGGTGTTCAATGACATGATTCATCAGATAGAGATTGGGAGGGAAAACCAAGACGGCGCAGACCAAGGTTTTATTGGAGGCCACTTCCCAGATTTACTTGATCAGCCAATGTTCCATCCTCCTCTTAATGGTTCTAAGCTCCAGGGAAATTACAGGCTTCCTTTAGGTTACCAAATGGATGCGTCTTATTACTGTAAGTTTTCACTTTTGAGACTCTTTAAGTATGTTACTGAACAAAGTTTGTCATATTTCACTGTGCAGTTTTGTAGAGTCTTTGACAATTTATAACGGTACTCTACTTTTCATTCTTTAGATCTCAAACTCCATTGGTCAGTACCTTGTGGACCTAATAGTGTCATTACATTCCCCGGTGCACCATGGTTAAAACCATGGTATTGGTGGTCGTGGCCTGTCTTACCTTTGGGCATCCAGTGGCACGAACAACGACGTCTAACTGTTGGGTAAGATTACAACACTTTCTGCTTTGAGTGACATATACACATAACAGATTATTCCTAGATTAACCATCATACTTGTCTGGAGATTGTTGTCATTTGTCAATGAGTTTAGAAAATGAGCTGACATTACTTACCTGACTTGCGTAGCAATTAACTGCAAGATTTATGCAACCCGATGTTTCTATAAAATAGCATGAATTGCTTACTTCTCTCATCCCTGTTGCTGAACACTTTAACTTCTTGAAGTGCATCCGAAATCTACAAGATTTACTATACTTATAGCCTGAGATATTTGATGCTCAGGACAATAACAATTGACCTGTTTGTATTTGGCAGGTATGGTGCTGAGATGACAGCAGTGCTGATCCAAGCTATATTTTACCTAGGACTTATTGTAATGACACGCCTAGCACGCCCCAATTTAACTAAGTTGTGCTATCGCCATGATGATAGCAAGAGTATCTTCTTACTACGAACTGGCCTGAAGTTGATTGCTATATGGTCCATTCTTGCTGCCTACACAGTTCCTTTCTTCATCATTCCTCGTACAGTTCATCCACTAGTTGGCTGGAGTCTCTACTTACTCGGTTCCTTTGCACTATCCTGTATAACAGTGAATACATTCCTTTTGCCAATGCTACCTGTTTTAGTACCATGGATTGGAATACTTGGGGCCCTTTTGGTGATGGCGTACCCTTGGTACAACGACGGTGTTGTAAGAGCAATGGCTGTATTTGGATATGCTTTCTGTGCTTCCCCAGCATTATGGGTGGCATTGGTTAAAATCAAGTCTTCACTTCATGTTTCACTTGAGAGGGAAGGATTCTTGCCTAAGTTAAGTGAATCTACAGCACCTGCTGGTTCTAACAAACTGTATTGAAATTCTTGAAGTTGAAGGAAACAAAAAGGTGAATTAATTCTCCAAATTTGCTGCTCGGCGTAGTAGGAGATTGAAGTGTGCTTGTGCTATCCTAGCTGCCTCAGTCTGTGTAAAAGAAAGGAATGTGAGGGAGTACTGATGTGAAGTACACAATTTAGACTTTAGGATGATGTTTTGTGTTGTACATGGACTATCTCAGATCTGTTGATTTCTTGAATGTTACTCCAGGAAAAAGATTCATTAATTAATGTGAGTTAAGCTATAGCTTCTCTCTGATTATATCTTTTGCTAGGCGACCTAAGTCTTTCCAACGTTACCTTAGTATGACTTACATTCTTTTTTAATTTATTTAAAATAAAACCCCTAGTAGACCTTAGTTTGTCCTAAATGGTTAACTTAACTATACTTGGCGTAAACACCCGGCCCGGTGCAAATGAGCCTTTCTCGTGTGTAAAAGGTTGCCCTTCAAATATAGAAAAAGTTGCTCAGCGCCATAGGGTCATTACAAAATTGCATAGCTCATGCTAGGACCATTTTTCTGCATGCACACCAACATGCAGATCTAATTAACTTGACCATTTCAAGATTTGATCTTCAATATTTCGTACAAAAACCAAAGTTTTAGAAACTCTACAACTAAGATCCAAGCTCAACAATACAAATCGAGCTGTGATAATAGTTCAATATTATGCAACACCATTCAAGATTTTCCAAATATTTTCTGTATGGAAAGGTATGTCATATACGGACACCAAAACGAAAGAAAAGAATGCGCTGTCACGTTTATTAGAAAGATGAGATAAGCAATAACCTCATAATTGAATTCCATCGAAAAATAACTTATGTTCCTCGCTTATTGTTACAATGATAAAAGAACAATTTAAGGAGCAAGCTGGCCAGCGGGATAGTCGAACCAGTGTCTTCACATAATACAGCAGTTCTGTTGCGACTCGAGCATCTCTGGTGATCTGCAAAACCAGAGGACAGACTGCTCAATCACAATTCACAGTTGATGATACTACTAAACATCAAAACAGTTACAGGGTTCCATTTTCAAGCGGAAACAAAAAACATCATCTATCAGACTAATGATTAAAATGTCTTCTATTTTTTTTTGAGAAGGTAACATTTGTGTGTATTAATATATAATTTGTACTGAAAACCATATTTACAGGAGAACAAAAGGAAAGACAACTGAACTACAGTCCTAGCAGTATTCTAAAACTTCTAGGATTGATACAGTATCTTCTGGCCACTTCTGTTTACACCAAAAATTAAAAAGAAGAACACAATTCATTTTGATCTTCTGCACTGAATTGCTACTGTCCTCAAAACATCTAGAGTTCCTCTCCTTCCAGATTGTCCACCATTAAAATATGTCTTCTATTAGATAACTAAGAAGGCTCAATATTTTAGATAGATATCTCATTAGATTGGTAAAGATTCAAAAATCACCGTAACAATGGTTTAGAGAACGAGAAATTCCCCATCTGACATGCCATCAGTTTAGTCTTCCTATTTTATTATTAAGCATAGGATGCAGCAGTATGTTCTTGAGCCAGCCGCTTTAGTTTTGGTAGCTGGGATAGTCGTCAAATCTCAGACAGGACAAGATCTGGAGATAATTTTAACAATTTACTCGTTCTTTATAGGAGAAGGGAAAGTCGAACAGTGACGGAGGAAGAGTAAAAGCTCACTGTCCATAAAGGCTAAAGCAAATCTGCAAGCTTTCATATTTTACATGAAATTTTTATGTACCATAACATTCCATTAACATTCTAGTCGCCAATTGCAACCACTGTCAAATCATTGGAATACTGTTTCTCTGGTCTGTATTATTTTCATTGATTTGGCAAGTATAATTGAGTTCTTTTTTCTTTTTGGGCAAGTTGGAACACTGAAAATGGCTCTACCAGTTGCGCAGAAAGCAGGAAACCAGGATCAGATTGCACTTGAGTTTTGCAGGAGCTGTTCCATTACGTCAAAAGTTTGATCAAAAGATATGGAACTTTCAGACCTTGATAGGATACTATCATATGGCAACACAGTAGACGCATAATCAACGCTTTATTTATCCCAAAATCAAGAATAGGCAAGATACTTGCATGCTTTTAGCCCATCATCCAAAACATTTAGGGAAATATATATAGGCCAAAAACTGTAAAGGACCTACTATCTCCAGGTAAAAAGAGGAAAAGAAGACATTATAATTCCAGACTCTAACTACTAGTCTACTACTGATTCAACATGCAGGCAACTGAATTTGAAGGAAATTCTGAAGATATTGGAGCACTTACAGCTGTCCAAGAGTTGATATATCGAAGTCTGGAGCAAGCTCATGCACTATATCGTTTGGTGGTTGGCCACATTCTTGCATTTTCTGCATAAGCTCGACAATTTTGTTGAAATTGTTCGGCTCAGTTTCATAGACTTTGTTTAGATCTCTTATAAGTTCATACTGGTGTCTATAACGTTCATAATCTTCACTGCTTAACTTGGCTTTATTGTCTTCCAACCACTTTGGATATCTTTCTCCAATTTCTCTCATAGGTTCATAAAGAATTTCCTTTGAAAGAAGCTGCTGCATCATGGTCTCTACGATAGACTCCATATCCTAGCAATTAGTCAATCAAAATAGTTACGAAAGCATTCCAAGCAAGTGAGAAGAAGCAATTTATAAGAAAAAGATATACACTAGAGAGTATATGGTAGTGCCTTCATGCCCATTTTGGATGATTGGAGAAATGGGATAGAAGACTATCAAAGGAATTGAAAATTTTAGGAGCTATTTACTACATTTTATTTGTATTTTTTGGTGCAAAGAAGATATCTCTTAATGTACAAGATAGTCCGAAGGACTTTTTAGAGGCTTAATGTAACAGTCATGGTGTATAATAGAGGTACCATCCTGTGCAATTGACAGAACGATTTTGACTTATTAAGCGAAAAGGAGAATATAAAAGAGAATAAGGCAACAGGAATTGCTTTCAACTATAGGTAACCAAAACATAAAATGCAAATCCACTATGAACAGCTTTCAGGCCTGATCGAGGGAGAAACCTATCTCGAGCCAATCATGCAGTTTCCTGACCATATAAACACCTTAACCCACACTTGCGCATGTAGCACCAAGTTAACCCTATCTCGCCTCCAAGTCCATTAGTGAGTAGTTATTGAGTGTCTTCTATTTCTCATCCGAAGCATTTAAATGTCTCAGCACTTAGCTCTTTACAGTCCAATGACATCCTTATTTGATCCATGACTATACTTCGTTAGCATTATTAAATAGGAGGAAGCAAGAAGATGAAACATAGCATCCACCCAAAACTGAAGGTTCATAGTCAAAACAGCTTCCTTATCGGAAGAAAAGATAGTCAAAGCAGCTTTTGATTGAAATCCAAAATCCTAAGCAGAGAATTCTAAAGTAGAGAAACAGGACCTAAGAATGTGAAAGGCTTTGAAAGGGTCACATTTTGGACAGATTCCTCCCATGAGTCTTTAGAAGGGTGGCGGTTCTTTACTTTTAGAGAAATTGGTCAAGATCAAACAATTTAATGAAATTCAGTCCTTTTGAAGAAAAAGTTTCATTCAGCTTCCTTAGTCACAAGATCTACATATGCAATTAGCTCCTATTTATACAGCATCTATATCAGTTGAAACATACTAAATAGGCCAACAGAACACAAGACTACAACAACTTTGACAATCTGTAGAGCGATTAAAATCATCAGAAAGCGTTGAGATGTAACATCAATTCATTACCAAAAGTCCTCCATGCATAAACGCAATCATTTAGCTGAAAATGTTAATCATATCTATGAATGAAGCAAAATGGTTTCTCTGACTATATCAATACAGTAACATCCTCATTATTCATTCCTCACCACACCCCTTCCCTTCCCCAAATTTCCAATATGTAAGAGAACAAAATCTATCAAACATCTTGTAAATTTCATGAAAAAGACTTCGCATTCAACTATGAAGCTTCAAAAGGAAACATATATTTTGCAGTTTCAACATTTCACTGTTTGATAAAAAGAATTAGAAGTGAAAAAACAAGGATGCTAACATTCAAGAAACATAAGAAAAATATACCTGAGAACCAGCAAGCTCCTCAAACTGCTTGGCCCACTCCTCCATCATTGGATCACTTCCAAAGCTCTCCACACCGGGTCTCGGCCCAGCCACTGATTCTAATCCCTTAACAGCCTCTCTTGTCTGCTCTCTAAGCTTATCAAGAGCTTCAGAGACATGTGAGTCCTTAGAAGAAGCCTTTTGCTTCCCCTTCTTCTTAGCTTTCAAATCGGGCAACGACATCCCTAGCCCTTGAACCTCACTAGCCATACAAGAACTCTCTTTCTTGTCCTCTCCATCCCCATTTCTACATTCAAAGTCAACCCTTTTTAATCACAGCTCAAAATTCTTATAACCGAAGTAAAGGTTTAAAAGAAATTCATTGGAAAAGACTAAATAAATTTCTTATTTATTCTACCCCTTTTCATCACAGCTCAAAATTCAAACCCCATTAGCTTAAAACCAAAGTAGAGATTTAATATATTTTTTTTGGGTACATTGAAAAGACTAAAATAAACTTGTTATATGCCACAAGAGAAAGCAGAGCAGAAGAGACCTTTGAGAAGCAGAAGTGAGATTGAGGCTCTGAAAATCATCCAAAGCGCCTGAAAAATAACTCGCGGATCAGTTTCCAGTCCAATTCAATTCAATTCTGTACATGTTATATGTATGAATTACTGAAACGGGAAAAGGGGGAACCACTTACTGTCAAGAAGTTGGTCTAAATCATCAGAGTGGTCAGTAGCCATGGATTCCCCCTGTAGTATATCTGTTTGTGTTTTTTCTGTTAGTGTATTGCCAAACATCTTATAAAAATCCAATCTTTGTGAATGGGTGATAGAAAAAAGTGAGATTTATATAAAGGGTAATGTATACGTAAGGTAAAGATTTTTCTTGGGAAGGTACAGTGACGTTTTTTGGCGGAAAACCCGAACAAAAATACACTAGGGTTTTGCGCATCCCGAGATCATCTAATTGCCACCAAACCTTGTTTAGCATATTTGGTAAATCTCTCTTTTTATTTTTTTTATTTTAGTAAATTAATGTATTTTAGTCTCTGTTTTAAAAGGCAGAATTGGGACTCGCCCGGGGCTCGCCCCAGAGCGGAGCACTCGTAAAACGCCTCTGGGCTTATGTATGGGGCTTAGTTCCGTGATACTTACTCCTCGGTCGTCGGGGCTTACGCCTCGGACACGCTCAACGCCCAGTGTACTGGGCTCGCCTAATAGAACTTCATGCAATTGTATGTAACTAAACTTATAATACCTCAAATTTTTTTAATAAATCATTGACAATTCAAAATTACTTTTTTTTAATCATAAATCATTAAGTTGAGAGTATTTTATGTCATAACTAAAAAAAAATTATTACACGTTATCCATTAAGATTGCTATGATAGTAAATTTTAAATAAATCTTTCATTTAAAAAGTATTCATTTATTAACTTTTATTCTTTATTATATAATATCCATAACTATTTTATAATCATTTTTCTAAATATTATTTTTTTCACATTTACAAGATATAATACTTATTAATTTAATAGCTCAGTATTAGCTAGTAATTATTTAAAAATAATTAGTTATTATGNCTCGGTTGGACGACTTCCACTTTGACCACTGGCTTGAGGATGATAGGGGGTGGTCGACTTTGTGATTAACTCCGTATTTAGCAAGCAATGAATCAAAAGCCTTGTTGCAAAAGTGAGACCCTCCATCACTAATGATAGCACGAGGGGTACCAAACCTTGTGAAGATACTCTTTCTCAAGAATGCTACAACACTTCGGGCTTCATTGTTGGGTAAAGCCACGGCTTCCACCCACTTTGAGACATAATCCACCGCCACGAGAATATAAGTGTTCCTGCAAGAGCTCACAAATGGACCCATGAAATCGATGCCCTAAACATAAAAAGTATCCACCTCGAGAATCGTATTGAGAGGCATCTCATCCCTTTTTGAAATTCCGCCGGCCCTTTGGCATGCATCACATCTCTTCACTAAATCACTAGCATCTTTAAACAACGTTTGCCAATAGAACCCGCAACTCAAGATCTTTGAAGTCGTCCTCACCCCCCCCCCCCCCCCCCATGATGGCCACCATAAGGGGAAGAGTGACAAGCCTCCAATAAACTCAATTGTTCACCTTCCGGGACACATCTTCTAATTACACCATCCGTGCAAATTTTGAACAAGTATGGATCATCCCAATAAAAATCCAAACTATCCCGTTTGAGTTTCTTCTTTTGGTTGGAAGAGAGCTCACACGGGACAATTCCGGTCACAATGAAGTTGGCGATGTCTGCGAACCATGGCGAGTCACATGTTGACACAGCAAGAAGTTGCTCGTCCGGGAATGCATCATTTATCTCAAGACCGTTACATGGCCTCCCTTCTTCCTCTAATTGGGACAAATGGTCCGCTACTTGGTTTTTGCTTCCCTTCCGGTGCACTATTTCTAAGTCAAATTCTTGAAGGAGTAACACCTACCTCATCAATCTTGCTTTGGAATCCTTTTTGGTCATCAAATATCTAAGGGCGGCATGGTCCGTGTGCACAATCACCTTGGCCCCCATAAGATAGGGACGAAATTTCTCCATGGCGAATACAATGGCCAATAACTCCTTCTCCGTCACCGTGTAATTCCGTTGAGCTTCATTCATAGTCTTACTTGCATAATACACGGGATGGAATGTTTTGTTAACCCGTTGACCCAACACCGCCCCCGCTGCAACATCACTAGCATCACACATTAATTCAAAGCTCTGTTTTAAAAGGCAGAATTGGAACTCGCCCGGGGCTCGCCCCAGGGCGGAGCACTCGTAAAACACCCCTGGGCTTATGTGTGGGGCTTAGTTCCATGAGACTTACGCCTCGGGTGTCAGGGCTTACGCCTCGGACACGCCCAACGCCTAGTGTACTGGGCTCGCCTAATAGAACTTTATGCAATTGTATGTAACTAGCCTTGTAAATTCTCAAATTGTTGATTATTCAAAATTACTTTTTTTAAACATAAATCATTGAGTTGAGAGTATTTTATGTCATAATTAAAATAAAAATTATTACACGTTATCCACTAAGACTGCTATGATAGTAAATTTTAAATAAATCTTTTATTTAAAAAATATTTATTTATTAACTTTTATTCTTTATTATGTAATAGTCCATAATTGTTTTATAATTATTTTTCTAGATATTATTTTTTTACATTTACGAGATACAATACTTATTAATTTAATAGCTCAGTATTAGCTAGTAACTATTTAAAAATAATTAGTTCTCATGTTATTGTATGGTGAATTATGTGTCACTTTACTAAGTTTTTGAAACTTAAAAATAAAAAATGCTAGAGAATCATATTTAAATTGTGAATTATGTTTTTATATAAATTCTCTTTTAAATAAAGCATATTAAATAAAAGGAGTATTTTTGTTATAAAAAAATTATCAAATTATAATATCGAAATTCTTTCAAGATTCAATACTCCTTAAGATATACGTATAAGATTTTATATCGAATACATTACTTATGATATTGGAGTTGTAAAGTTGCAGCTAATTTGCATATTATGATATATGTCATACTTTTCGTGTTTTTCATAGTTGAATTATAATTCATAAGTATTTTAAATAGATTATTTGTTATAATTTTGTGATTTTAATGTAATTTTTATATTTATTTTTTATTTTATACTATCTTAAAATCCTTAAAATTTATAAAATTAAAAGATCCAAGAGACTTACGCCCCATGTCTCAGGGCTTACGCCTCGCCTCGTCAGAGGTAAATCGCCTCGCTTCACGCCCCCGCCTTTTAAAATATTAATTTTAGGTGACGTTTGCTACAAAGAGAGAAATTATTCAAATTTATTGATTTAACAGTCTTTGCAAAATCTATTAATCTATTAATAAGATAGAAAAGTAGAGGCAAATTTTATACATTGTGCCAAGTGTCAAAACAAAAAATTGACACGCGTCAATTTTTTAGACAAAACTCCAATAAGCTTGGAGATTTAAAAAAAAATTATAAAATATAATTTGGCAGTTATTCACAGAGTCCCACGTTTTGGCATATCTATTCACACCATGACTCCTACGTTTTTTTTGACTCCCACATTTCTTCATCCACGATCATTTATTTAAAAAGCTGGACTCTTCTTTACAAGTAATTTTTACATAGAAATAGGAAGAAAGGGGGAAAAAATACTCCACGATCCTCCTCCCAAAACCAAACGTGGGCATCAAAACCTAAGTCCATAACTTATAAACAGTCTCCTACGCTAATAATGTCTCAAATGTCTACTCCTTCTTCTATTTTCTCTGGATACAGAAGTTTGCAAATATGGTTACAACACTTCATGAAATTAGTCAAATTCCAAGCAAGTCGATGCAATGGAATCTCAAAGTTAGAGTCGTTCGAATGTGGAAAATGCCGGATCGTTTCAATCCTGAAAAACCATATTCGATTGAGTTGATTTTACAAGATGCAAGGTAACATATTCAACTTAATTACTATAGTTCTAAAATTTCTATTCTTTTCTAGTTTTATGGATAAATTTTTCACAATAAGATGTACTGATTGTGAAAAATTATATGTAGTACCAGTACTCTATTTCTGTTTCTATTTCGGAAAGTAGTTTGTTATTAATTTCTTTACGACGAACTTACGACAATGTTGCTTATTCAACTTCATCACTCAAATGAGTTGTGTATAATCACATAGGCGCGTATCTCAGCATTATTAGTACGTTTCTGGTTTTTAAAATGGGTTCGATGCCTACATATCTTTGGAGCCTCGCTTTCTCCTTGAGGTTGATTATTAACACAAAATGCAGCATTAAGCTTTGAGCACTATTTTTTTGCGAACATCCTGATAGTGACTCTACAAATATTAGTTTTATCATGTAAAGCATATTAGAAAGATTAGCATTATCTATGGTTAAAATTTTGGATTTTGCTTTTGGTTAAAATAATTTGGTTATTTGTACAGAAACGATTATGCAACATGGCTCATATAAAATGATTATGGTTAGGACGAACATAACGAAACTTGGCTCATATATGAAATGATTATGTATGGTATAAATATTTCTCTTTTTGTTTTTAAGTCTAAAAACAGCAAAAATAAGCAAACCATCTTTAGCTATCAATCTCATATTCCGTGAAGACCACGCACAACAGTCACAGGCTTTGCCATTACTCCAACATCATCCACATCAAGCCTTCACAATTGTGCACTAATTCCTGCATATATGCTATTTATTTGCAATATGATACATCCTAATAATTAATCTATTTTTTTAAGGTGATCGTATCCAGGCCTCGATTGGAAAGTATGTAATTAAGTTTTTTAGGACCAAGATACAGGAACTCGGCTTATATCGCATAAACTGCTTTGTTGTCGGACCAAACAAACTTGAGTTTAAAGACTACAACACACAATCTGAGGCTGACATTTACACAAAGGACAACGGTTGAGGAAATAGTTGATTCTTCATTTCATATGACTATCTTCAACTTTCGTCCTTTTGATCAAGCTAACAAATCAGAATGATGTCGATGAGGCAGAATTATTCGGTAATTCTTCTCTTCCATTATTACCATGTTTTACAAAATTGTCTACTTTTATATTTGTAGATGTCATTGGTCAGGTTGTGGCGTATGAAGATGTTAAGACCCACAAGCAAGGAGATAACGACAGTATCTTTCTCAATGTTCAACTCGAAGATGATCAGTAAGTTATTCACTAATACAAACTATACTTTTATAGTTTAATTATTTATATTATTTAGTTGATGAAGGATTACCTTGAAACTTATAGGAGGAACATGATTACGACAACCTTATGGAGTGAACTTGTGGATCAAATTCAGCCTCACTTGAATGGAGCTACGGATGAACCTTTGATTGTTGTTTTACAATTTATGAAATCTCAAAAAGTCCGTTACCAATTTTACATCTATATTTAAAATTTAGTTTCAAAAAAATTATAATTTCTAATTTTTGATTTATCTTATCTACGGGTAACTACTCAGTACGTAGTTGTTGGTACTCTACAAAACTTTGGATCAATTCTACTCTCGCACAATATGTTGAGTTTAAATCTAGGTTTGTAAAGGGTGTAATTTTTTTAATGGTACTTACATAGTGTTACTAAGATTTATCACTTTTACCACGTTACGACATATGCAGCTTAGTTGCAACATGCCTATCTAACTGTGAGCAAATTATTCAAACAAGCTCTCAGAAAAGTTATTCTGTCAGAGATGAGTTAGCCAAAGGAATTGTATCGTTCAAAATTATTACGAATTTAGTTCAGTGTAGAGAAGCGAGTTAAATTTAGTGTAAATTTGCACATTTACTTTATGTTTTCTCAGTTTAATTTAGAACAATATTTTTTTTTCTTAAATAGGAATGTACCTACTAGATTGCTGCTAAATTGGTTAATTTGGAACTTGAACGAGGATTGTCATACTTGGCATGCAATAAGTGCACTAAAAATGTTGACAAAATTGGGAACAAATTTTTTTGTGAGAAATGCAATGAAGAACAACGTTCTGTTGGTCACATGTAATTTTCATATTATATGGTTTTAAGACATATAAAAAGGAAATGCACAAGATTAAAAAAATTTGACTTGCATGTATCGACTTCAAGTTCGTGTTATTGATGGAACCACTTTTATATCATTATTGCTTTGGAATCGCGAAGCTATGCAGATTATAGGAAAGTCCGCAAAAGAATTGAAGCAAAGATTAATACAGGTATACTAATAAACTTATTTAGTTGTCAATTATAACTCTTCTAACCTATGAAATTTGGTGTAGGCTTCTGTTATAGATGAGGATTGTTCTAATCCAAGTGAGCTGGATGATATTCTTTATAAAAAATTCATGTTTAAGGTTATTGTTAAGCCATCCAATATTGTGAAAAAAGACCAAGTGTACACTGTTGTGAAGATAACTGATGATCACGATTCTAAGTACGGATGAATGCATTTACTAGACATAAATACTAATGGACATTTAATTCTTTGTAATTCATTCCATTATAATTTGTAACAGCTAATAATCAGCACTTATGCATTGTCCACTTTAATTGAAAAAGTTTTGATTTGTTAGTACTGGAAATAAAAAATGCCTTTCTTGATACATTAGGTATAGCAAAATGCATCTTTACTTATTCGTAGTTTTTATTGATAAAATGAACCATATGGTTTGGACAATCATATTCCTTCAAATTCGATAAAATTAAATAGTCTTCAATTTTATCTAAACCATTATTTTGCATTTTACTTTTATGTTTATCCTATTATTCATTTAATGTAGCTCAACTAAACTTTAATTTATTTAATTATTGTATATTTTATGTTATTTCAGAAGCTGATCTCACAGATGATGAATTGAAAAATCGTTATTTGCAAAAGCTGGAAAACTTTTTAAAAGGATGCGGAAGAAGTTTTCACGATTATCCAACAATGCCAAGGCCTGTTTACAGTGCGGAAGAAGCTGACAATAGTAACAGATTAATTCGTGATGAATTGCGTTATAATGTACACACACTGGCGGAGAAACATGAACAATTATTAAAGAATTTGATGGATGAGCAGAATTCAATTTATGAGAAAATAATAACAGCTGTAAATGAAAACAAAGGTGAATTTTTCTTCTTATATGGTTCTGGAGGAACAGGCAAGACTTTTATTTGGAGGACTCTGGCTTCTGCCATAAGATCTAGAGGAGATATTATGTTAACTATTGCATCTAGTGGGATTGCATCTCTATTGTTACGGGTGGTCAAACAGCTCAATCAAGATTTATAATTCCACTCAATCTAACTGAAGATTCAACATGTAATATCAAGCAAGGTACTCCTTTAGCAAATTTGATTGTCATGGCAAAGTTGATTATTTGGGATGAGGCACCTATGATGCATAGATATTGTTTTGAAGCTCTTGATAAAACTTTAAGAGATATTCTTAGATTCAAAGATGCATCCAATTTAGAATGACCATTTGGAGGTAAAACAGTTGTTCTTGGTGGTGACTTCAGACAAATACTACCTGTCATCCCAAAAGTACCAGGCAAGATATTTATTGTTAACGCTTCTCTCAGTTCTTCTTATTTATAAGCATGTGAACATGAATGTAGGATAATTATTTTTTTCCTCAAAAATTGTACTTATATAATGGAATTATAATACAAAGTTTCTTCCCTGCAACTCTGTTAAAAAATTCCATACAAAGTTTAACAACTATCATTAATACTCTCGCTTTTTTTTTTTACAGGTGATTCAGAGAGCAATTGAGCAATCGAATAAAGAAGACTATTATTGTATACTCAAACACCATTTAACAGACCTATGTGAAAACATTAAATTGTAGAGACTCCCTAGGGTTGCTATAAGGCTTTGTGATGCAATTCACTATTCCATATGTTCATACAGTATACTGACAGTGCATTTGCATGTTCATACAATAATAGTATTTACATGCATGCTCCTTTTTGTCTATCGTATTTTTAAAGTAATATTTTGATATGAAAAATTATATTTAATATTCTCCGCGCAACGCACATGTACGAATACTAGTATATAAAAGAAACAATTACTGAGACTCTTAGTCAAATTTTTTATGGCAAACCAACCTAAGGTAGTGTGTTATAAATGTTTAAAGAAGCTCTCGGCATAAGAAATACTTCCAAGAAACCTATAGCCTATTTGGCCAAGCTTCTTTTTGGCCAAAAGTGCTTTTTTTTGGCCAAAAGCACTTTTGGCCAAAAATTGAGGTGTTTGGCCAAGCTTTTGGAAGGAAAAAAGTGCTTTTGAGGAGAAGCAGAAGCAGTTTTGGAGAAGCAGAAAAAAGTAGCTTCTCTCCAAAAGCACTTTTTTGAGCAGCACTTTCGAGAAAAATACACTTAGAAGCAGTTTTTTAAAGCTTGGCCAAACACTAATTGCTGCTCAGAAGTACTTTTCAAACTAATTAGCCAAACACAAACTGCTTCTCACCAAAACTGATTTTTGCAGCTTGGCCAAGCGGGCTACTAATCTATTTTTCATGTTCATTTGATTGAGAATTGAGTTGAACGTCCCATGTCTAATAAGTAAATTCGGTCATTTTATGTCTAATAGTAATTTATGTTTTTCTCCTATTCCTGTTATCAAAGTGATAATTACTGCTTATATGTAGAACAAACTAATAACAAATGATGCTGAAAATATTGTTCAGAATTTCTTTGCACCTGAACTGAGAAATAAATAACATATACTCCTTTCTTGATATTTTCACTCTTAAATTTTACCATTCCCTCCTTTTTTTGGTAACCTTACCATGAAAATACATGTTATCTTCCTCATTTCGTCAAACTTGTAACTACATTGTCTCATTAATTTTCTCATTGAGATATTAATCAAACACACACAAAAGAGTTAATGATGTCTTGTTATCCTGTTATTCATATTTAGTAAGGTTATAGAGAAAAGGGGAGTTATACTTATTAGTAAGTTGAGCCGAGCCTGAACAATATTAGTGTTTAGACTTAGATGTGGGAGAATTGCATTTGAATTTGTTTAAATAAAATTGTTTTTGCTTTCTGGAAAGTATCACCAACACTTAAAACATCTTAAGAAGCCTTCCCTTATACACAAATTAATAATTAAATCCAATTAACATCTCCATTTGGTAGGAAAGAGGGAAAAAATACGCTTCAAGAAAAACATAAAATCTCATTTGAACCCAAAAAAAAGTCGACTTGGAAATTTTGAGCTTAATGTTTACCAATTGCTTTGGAAACCCACTCCATGTTTGTTTGGGTTATAAATCCCTATTGACAGCAAAGATACCAAAAGAGCAATTTCCTTTTAACTAGAAACCCAGAAGTTACTATGCAGTAAAATGTGCCTTAAGCCCTTAACAGAGCCCTTTTGGTCAACTACTCCCCAGTGAATGAAAGGGGGAGCAAGGGAAGGGGGAGATCCTCAGTTGCCAGCACTGAGCTATACATGTTCTAAACAACACTTTCACCACCTGATCAGAGCTGGCTCCTTGATGGAGGTAGCCAACAAAATCAACTGCAAATGGACATCACCTGCCGCCGACCTGCCTTTACATAAATGAAGTAGTGCTTACCCACGTTCACAGATGAAGTATAACTTCTCTGCAGTATAATAGTTGCCTTGCTTCCATATCAAATGATGCTGACTCCTGCAGAGATTTTTTTTTTTTAAAAAAAAAACATTCTTGTGGTCAAAATTCAGGAACCAAAATTTGTCCGCTCAAGGGTTGGGATTTTGCTGAGAATCAGAAGTTACACCTGTTGCAGAAGGTGTGACATTGTGAGTCTGAGGAAGAACAGAAGCACCAGCAATGGGATCTGAAACTTGTGTACCATTAAAAATTTGTTGAACACCCTGCCAATGGTATGCGGTTTGTGTGATAGGATTAGGGGGATAAAGTGCTTGAAGTCCAAGTCGTCCTTCAAAGCACTTGAGCTTTGACTTGTGCTTTCTACCCAAAAGATGACTTCTAAGATTCTCTCGTGTATCAAATTTCACATTGCACAGGTCACACATCAAAGGAATCACAATCAGCCGCCTCTTTGCTTTGGAAATTTTCTTTTCCTGCCCTCCACCACCTAGCATCTTGCGTTTCAAACCACGCGTTTGAACTACATCGCATTGTGCATCACTGATTTTAAGTTCAGTTCCTAATTTAATTTCGGACGGTACGGTGTCTAAAGGAATATTTTCTGGCGGCTTCTGCTTAGTCTCTTCTTCCTTAGGCAAATCATCAGGCTTCATGTTCGTTTCTGGTTTTATATCACCAGAAGGTTTCTGTACATTCTGGATATCACTGACAGTTCTGTTTTCTGCTTCCAATTTTTTCAAGTTCTTTCTGTGCCGCTTGCTACTCACGTGCTGCTTAAGGCTGCTCACCTTACCAAAATCAACCTTGCACAATTCACACCTAGCAACTCCAGCAATATTGCTAAATTTACCCCCACCACCACTTTTGTGCTGACCATCAGGCTTCATGTCTGTTCCTGGTTTTAAATCACCAGAAGGTTTCTGTACATTCTGGATATCACTAACAGTTCTGTTTTCTGCTTCCAATTTTTTCAAGTTCTTTCTGTGCCGCTTACCAATCTCGTGCAGCTTAAGGCTGCTCATCTTACCACAATCAATTTTGCACAATTCACACCTAGCAACTCCAGCAATATTGCTAGATTTACCCCTACCACCACTTTTGTGCTGAACACCACCCCTTGTACCACCCTTATCCAACGATCGACCAGCCTGCAGAAGTAGCCTCACGTGAACATGCAAGACTTCAACACCCAATTCCAACAAAATGGATTACTAAAAGTAGAGGAGAAAATAGCAATGCAAAGAGATCTGCAAAAATTATAAGTACCGCATGATTATATATCAAATCACACAAACCAGATTAACTTTACAGCTCAACACCCTGGTTTTGTATGCATCGCTAAATAGTTACTCCATCTCCACAAATTTAATCGACCTTTTAAGGTAAGACAAAATTAATGGTTAGTATTATGGTCATGACGAGAAGAATAAAGTAGACTCAAGGTGGAATAAGATTGACCACTTGGTAGAATAGATAGGCTTAATGCCTATGGCGGAAGTCTATAAATAGAATGGTATTCCCATAATACTAAGTATTTAACAGAATTGTACGATGATAATACTAAGTATTTGCCCCTTGAGCTTTGGTCTAGTGGTAGAGCGCAACCTGTGATGTGTTGGTTAGGCGCGCGCCAGGGGTTCGAACCCTGCCGCATACAAAATCCTAGTAATTAAGTAGAGGGAGCCCATTATCCATGAGTTTTGAACTGTGTGCCACTGAACCTTGGGGATTTCTCGGTTTTCAAAAAAAAAGTACTAAGTATTACCAGAATGGTATGAAGAGATGAAGAGATTGGATCAGCAGAATTCTAAAACTACGGAACCAACTGGTTTCACACCAGGGGAACAATTATAGCCGGTTTCCAATGTGTATCAGAAAAATTTATTCATTTCTATCTGAGCTAAGCCTGCCAAACATTCCAGAAAGAGAAGCCCTCTCTGCATGCTTGGCCTTTCTTCTCCTTGCTCAAGGTTAAATCTAAACTAACCTTTAACCTTCCTAGTCACAGCCACAGTAAGCTACCCGAACAACATATTCTACCAGTACCTCACAGGCACTCAAATTTCCCCATTTTGACAAGAAATAATCTCAAAACAGCTGAATTAATGACATTGTCCAATAAGTGTATTTTCTAAGTATAAAGTTTCCACGGCTACTCCCACCTCCAAGCACAGCCCAGTATTATAGAAGAGATTGGGAATTTGGCATATTTTAACAAATGATAATTAGGTGTTGCCATGTCTATATGACTAGGGAAAAGTTTACTTCGTTCTCAGACAAGGGATATTGAACCCGTGAATCACTATCACAAACCAAAGATGATGCCTAGATCTCATAGAAGGGAGAAAATCCAATAACACAGTTGATAGCATTGGAGACGTTGCAAGTATAAAGCAGCCAACTGGTCTACTTGAAACTTCAGTAGAAGAGATTTTGGGTTATGCTAATCTCCAAAAGCAAATGAGCCTTGTCTACAAGTAGCTTTCTTCCTATAGACCATAACCCCCTGCGAATGAATCCTTTGAGCACCCTATTCTTTTATATCACTTTTACTCGACGTGAAGTAAGATATAAGAGATTACTAATTAATAGAATACTTCACATGACTTTTGAACAAAAAGGTCACAAGGTCATGGTTGCAGATATAACAATAGTAGTGTTAGCAAATTCAAAAATCAGAAAGCCAAAACATCCCACATGATTACTCCAACAGCTATAGACCACCATCACTTGACTGATACACTCTCCTACCTAGGAATATGGTCTGGCCCATTTTTTTACACGGTAAGCGTTGAAACCCATTATCAAACTCAAGTTATCACTTACGAGCCACTAAAGACCAAGGAAATACAGTTATGGTGACATAAGGAAGATCTTATTTTGGTAAGCATGCATTTGGGAGCAAAAGGAATGGATAATTTTGGGCCTTATTCCTTTGCGGTCCAATAATGTTCCTATCTTAAAATAATTGCTCATCTCTTAATTGTCAATCAAACAAGCTAGACTATTTTTTTCCTTTATCACCCCTTTCCTACTAACTCCATCCGTCATGCTGTTCAACACTCACCATGCTTTCTAGGCCATTGTCCCCAATCTATTAGTAATCGAAGTTAACTCCTTACAAAAGTCAAAAATCTCAGTTGCTCGGCCACATAAAGGCTATTAAGAAAGATTCAGCGAAATGAAATGTCCCCAAGAACGTATTCTGCAAAATACTCTAGAAATGGTGGATAATACTCTAGACCTGAAATCCATTCTACAATCAAGATATAATGCAAAGTCATCATGTATTCAGAGAAATGAAATGTAACATCTATAAGTCAATGTTGTCAAAGGCTCTCTTGAGGCGCACATAATCCTAAAGCTAGGTGCAACATAGGTTTTGCGCTTCACCTCATTTAAGTTGCACTTCAGTGCAGACACTACGGCATGCTCATTGTTTCATAAGCCTTGCCTTGAAGTGAGCACACCAAATACTTGTGGTTTCGGTTTTGTAGTTATATTTCTTGAACTACATATACTCTTTTTGTCTTTTCCTTATATTAAGCCTTTATTCCTTAAAGCCCACTCTTATTTACTAGCATTTTTTGCTTAAAGCCCCAACAGATTTCAACTTTTTCGCCTTTGATAACAGGGATTAAACATATACTCCAGAACATCAGGAAAAAAAATTCTGATTACTACAACTCACGTGCGAAAGCAATCGAGATGGGCCCGGGCAAAGACTAGGACGTGCACCGGCTCCCAATCCCGGACCCGGCCCGCCAATCACGGGTCCTGACCCTTCCGCGTGGGGATACCAACTTTGCCCGTGCAAGCCCGCATGCTGATTGAGCTGTGCCAACGCTGCCACAGCCAGAACTGCCGCCGGGTTCAGCCCTAGCACGACCCCATCTGTCCTTTGGGGCAAATTCTGCTGATACGGTAACTGAGCATGTACTTGCCCATGTGATGCCGAAGAGGGTTGACTTGAAACTCCCGGTGGACGAATCGGTGCTTGATGACGCCATTGTTGATGGGTTTGTGGGTATTGTTGTGGATGAATCGGTGCTTGATGACGCCATTGTTGATGGGTTTGAGGGTATTGTTGTGGATGATATGTATTTGAATAATTAGGAGTGTAATACGATGAATATTGCTGTTGGGGTTGTTGATACTGCGGTGGTGGTGGTTGGTTCTGTTGGTATTGATAATTGGAGTAATTGGATTGACGATCATAGGTTTGAAGATGAGATGGGTTATAGGGTTGTGAGGAATGGTAAGGGTATCGGTTTTGCTGATATGAATAATCCATTATTGCTTGAGGACAGATACTTTACCTGATTTCTTGAGTTTTTGGATTTTTGGTTTCTCTACTCATCTCCATTCTGTATAGCTCTCACCACTGGAGATTTGGGTCGTTGCAATTTTGGAAGTAGTAAACTGGGTTTATTTGCTGCGATTATGATTGATTACCTCTGAAGCCAGAAACACACAGAGTTCCTTTTGGCACAACGTTAAGGTATTCAGATTCAGAAAATCTAGAAAAAAATAAAAATATGCATTAAAATTTAGACATCTTAATTTTCAAAAAAAATAAAAATAATAATAAGCATGTATGGTTATTTTTCTCTTTAACCTCACCAAGCAATAAAGAAAAAAAGGACCTCAGGTAAATGCATTTATGAAGTTTATCTGAATTATTTTACAATAATAATCTGCCTGAAATATAAATGTTTTTAAGTTGTTTAAAACTAGAGATTTTCTTTCAATGTTCTATTCTTTTGACCCTAGCCAAACATTTTCAAAAAAACGAAAAAGTATTCACTAGGGTGCCTAACTCAAGCTTTAGATCATGCTGATTGCTGACCATAAAATTTCTGGGGAACGCCGTGAGTAGTTAAAAGTCTGGGATATAAGTAGGCTGTGAGGTGAATGTAGTGGTGACCTCCAATAGTTCAAGTATAATGTAATTTGTACAATTGTATCATGAGAATAAAAACTCGTGTGGTTGTTTTGGGAAGAAAAAATAAAGAGTTTGTAACTTTAAAGATACCTCAGTTGTCCAGTATAGGAAAAGTAGGCTGAGTAATAGCACTGCTTGCGCACCTTGTTGCTGCATAAGAATAAGAATTCACTTCTATGAAATAAAAGAGTTTTACGGGATTTGTCTTAATCGTCGGATATCATTAAAAAAGAAAAAGAAAGAAGTCTTATCAAACGATTTCCTGCAATTCTTCCCAGTATGGAATGAGTAAAGAATCAAGCTACAAGTCCCGTTCTATACGAAACACACTGGTTTTTTTTCTTTCTTTCGGTTACTGCTTTAGCCCGTGAGGTATTGCTCTTGTTGTTCTTTTTAGTTTCACTGAAGTGCTTATAGGGCTTAACTTCCGATTTAGCTATTTCTGTGATAGAAGAAGAGTATATTATAGAATAGACTATACCCCTAGACCCGGTATGGAAAGAGAGTAATGTAATTCATCATCAACCAAGGCAGGAATCGTTAGAGTATCATATAATAGCTTGTTTGGCCAAGCTTCTCTAATCCTAGAAATATATTGATGGAAAAAAGGCATGACACGTGGACAACCATCAAGGTGACAGGTGGCACTTCCAATTGGGTGAATTAAAGAGTTCAAGAAGGCACGGGAACCAACCCTGACATCTGAAAAAGAAGAAATAGGAATGGACAAAGACCATAACGGGGGAAGATGCACGAATCTGTTACAAATAAGAAAAAAAATCGTTATTAATCGTGGTTATAGAAAATCTTTAGTAATTAATGCTTATGTTTCAATTATATATGATAGCGGGTAATCAAGGCAATTAATGCCATTAACAAGCCCGACTTAAGTAAGGAAACCATTATAATTATGTAGTCTTATATAAGAACCTAGTCCTCATTTGTAATGGCATATTATTTTTGCTCAATATATGCAATTATTCTTTTACTTTATTCAAAAGGTTCCAACCGCAATTCTGGGAGAGAATATCAATCTGCTTTGAATTTTCTTTCCTTGTCAATTATTTTCATTATTTGTCTTATTCTTCAAATTAGTGAGAAAGTGAAGTAAATTTTGGTTATCAGAAACCAGATTTCTTCTTGATATTAACTTTGGCCGAGAAATCTATTTTTGGGTTAAACAAATTGGTTTTGTTACCGGAAATCTGATAATCTGTTCACTTTTCAAACTTTTTTTTTTAACAACCAAATATGTCGACTGCTAACGAGAACAACCAACTGAATCAACAAGGTGGAACTCCACCACAACTCCTCAGCAATCACGTGAAAGTTCACCTGAAAGGTCTGCTTCGCGCACTGATGGACAACATGAAGGTGACCAAATCGTTGAGCAGGGTGCTTTGAAGCAGTAGATTGCAAAACATGTGAACGAAGCACTACAGGCTTTTGTTAGAGGATTACCCAACATAGCACAAAATCCACCACCAGTTAATACAACGACTTTGGAGAATCCATACTTGGGACTTGATAATCTTGGAAGTGGAGAAATACCCAATGAATCTCGCGATGGAGGGTCAGGTACACCAAATAATTCTTGTTTACAAAGTTTAGTGATAACTTTGCAGAAACAGCTGAAGGAGCAAAATGAGCGTATAGAGAAAATACTTGGTGTACCACCGTGATCAAAAGTGTGGATATTAACAAGTATTCACAACAACCCTGGAAGCCAAGTGCAATACCTTTGCTGAATCCCTAAAGGTTTAAAATGCCCGATATTCCCAAATATGACGGGACGTCAGACCCATGGGATCACGTAACCGCGTTCATTACCGGCATGAAAGGCAATGATTTAACTAAGCAGGAGATTGAACTGTTTTGGTTAAATTTGGCGAAACTCTCACAATAGGGGCGTTAACATGGTACTCTCTCTTATCTGAAAACTCGATTGGTTCTTTTGCTGAGCTTGCAGATTCATTTCTAAAGGCACATTTGGGGGCTTAAAAAGTTGAAAAAAGAATGGAAGATATCTTTAAAGTTAAACAACGGAGTACAAAATTGCTCAGAGAATTCGTAAATAGATTCCAACGATAGAGAATGATGCTGTCGCGAGTACCTAATAACTGGGCGGCTATGGCATTCGCGAGCAACTTGAATGAGAAAAGTCCAGAAGCCACGAGGAGGTTGAAAGAAAGTTTGCGGTAATTTCCTGCAACAACTTGAAATGATGTGTACAATCGATACAGCACGAAGCTGCGGATAGAAGAAGATACGGTTGCACAGCCAAGGGTTGATGAAAGACCAGCTTCGAGACGCTCAGAATCAGAGAGAATGTATGGTAAAAATAGGTACGAACCTTACATGGGACCCGCTGGACGAGATTCTTGACCTAAACAAGAGAATGTATGATTTGATTCAAGATCAAGGCAAAAAGAGACGAGTTCTTCATCCAAGTTAAAAAAGGAGCGAGATGCACGAAGCAACAATCCCGGTACTCAAGAAAGAATAGGAGATTATGGCTTTAACATTAGTACCTCTGAATTGGTAGCTGTTCTAAGGGGGATGTGAGATAAGGTGCGATGGCCGAAAGAGATAAGATCAATCCAAACAAAAGGAACCCAGATTTCTAGTGCGAGTTTCACAATGACCATGGCTATAGAATAACAGATTGCAGACTTTTGCAAGGGAAGGTTGAACATTTACTTGTTGATACCCAATTTTGCCCTCATATTTTTATAAATATCATATATACTTTCAAAATATCATTTCTGCATCATCACCAATTTACAAGAGTCATATACGTATTTTCTATAATTTTTCATAATTTTTTAGGCTTTAAAATTAATTTTCTTGCATTTAAATTATTTAAATATTTATTAATTACTCCTTCAAATTATTTTGTGATGACTTAATATACTTTACAATTAATTGCATCTGTCATTTTATTCAAGGTCAAAATAATTTTTTATATTTTTATAATCTTCAACTATTATTTTAAAATATTAAGTTTCATAAATAGTATTTTTTTATATTTATTTGGCTATTTTATTAAATTATTTTCCCCTTAATTTCGTGTATTTAAAATCTGGCCCAAAACAGGCCAAATTTCGGACCCACTTCACCATTCCACACTCTAAACTCCAGCTCAATAACCCCTAGCCCAATACCACGACCCGTTACACCTAACCCAGGCCATCTAAATCTCAGCCGTTGATCAAAATGATCAACGGCTCACAACACTTCCTCCCTTTCTCCTATACCTCTCAACCCCAAACCCGAGAGACCACTTCTCTCACCCAACCGCCGCCAAATCCTTTCATCCTCTCTTCTTCTCTGAGAAACTCTAGCCGCTGCTGCTTGGTTTTTCTCTGATTCCAACCCATAGATGGAATCTACCTATGATATACTTACCTTATTAATCTTCTCTCATTGTTTATCATCCGTTTATGGTGTTACTTAGGTACTTTCCTAGGTTTGGCAAGTATCACATTCGAGATTGGACAGGAATGATTCAAATCTTTGATTTAGGCGTTATTTCGTCTATATACGCTCAACAAAGAGCGATCTGCACTCTTGGTTCGATTTTCAGACAATTGAACCCTAATTAGAGTTTGAGATTCTCCATCTCCTTTACTGATTTTGATTTGCATGGGATATTTCTTTCCTTATTTGTTCTTAGTTGATTGTTTTCCATGTTTGTTCTTTCAGTTTCTACTACTATATAAACCCATCCCAGTTCCCCTAAAATAGACCCGAATCATGGTTATTCTCTCACTCTCACGCATTCTATACTATTCTAAAGCTTGAGCTCTTGGCCGGCTGAAAGCCAAGGCTACCAGAATCTTTTCTATCTACCTCCCTAGTGCGAGCATTGCTCGGAGCTCGTTCGAAGCTCCTATGAACTCTGATGCACTAAGGTTTGGAGCTTTTGCTGTTGTTCTTACTTTACTATTGGAACTTAGTGATTCTTCTACATTTGTCATTAAATCTGTAAATTGGTAAGTGTTCATTCCCTCACAATTATATTTTCCCCCCTCTTGTTTTCATGCTTCTGAATGTCTGTCTTATTTGAACTCTTACAAAGCAATATGACATTGTATCGACCTTGCTTTGAAATTCTTCTGTAATTCTCCATCAGTTTATCTGTATAAGTCTATATATGTTCATTTAGTATATTCAATTTGGAAGATTTTCAGACTGTTATGCTTGTTTGAGACTATCATGTTTATGTATGCTCGAATTCCTATATTGGTTGTTTGTTGTGAGTCCATTCTAATGCCTTACCTTGAACTTTTGTAGTGGAACTCCTAGGGAACTAGTTCTTGCCCAGAAGTTGCCTTAATGAGTCTCTTTCTGCTGAATCCTTTATGTATAACTTGCTATTTCTCTACAAACTGACCCACGATCATCTCACGTTACAATATTGTCTCAATGTTTGACCTAATATGCTTCCTTGCTATTTGTAAACTTTAAAGTGTGCATCATGCCTAATTACTACTGCCTAAAGCCTACAAGACAAAATTGCAATGTCTAGCTTTTTTTCTATGTATAATCTAGATCATGGTGTATCCTTGCCTACTATGAGTTCTGGTATTGTTTAAGTCTTTGTGCTATGACTGGTATTTAGCATGTTCAATACTTTTCATGCTCAATTAAAGATTGTTTGTAGACCATGTCCATCAACCAGTTTGGTTACTCTATTAGGTTTCTCATTATAGACACTTTCATGTGAAGGTTGTGCTCCACTTGCTTCTTCTCTGTGATTCTGCTGGACCCTCATCTAAAGTTCTTTAGGTTGATCCTGAATCATGCTTCATTTTGAAACTCTTTGGAATGGTTTACTATCCTATGATGGTCAATCATGTCACTCTTAAACTTTGTTTCTAGAATTACAACCATAAACTTGCCTCATATGTGCTTTGTGTGCTTTCCAATTTAGCATTATCCTGTCTAT